TATATATATATATATGTATATATATATATATGCAACCACACTAAATGTGTCAGATTGACATTCCTAATTATATCAAATATATTACAATATATAACATAAAAAACTTGAAAGTAAAATTCATTCATAAATCTTTCAGATTTACAATGATACAGTCAAACTGAGATGAAGTGATAAACACCGGAATAAAAAGACGTTAGAGGATTGTAAGACAATAAATAACCAAATTAAGAGGCCTATTAGCGCTTCAAACTGAGCTGTGATACTCACAATGTGCAACTGCAGGTAGTCTCCGAGGCCCTGGCTGCTCTCCACCTGCACCAGGATGGCATCACTCTGCTGGGTGCTGAAGCCCACGGCCAAACGGTCCGCCCTGGTGCTTGGCCGATCATTGGGGGCCCAGGTGTACGTGATGAGCGCTCCTCCTCTCCCAAAAATATATGTGGTCCCAGCTGCCAAATGAAGGAAGACACATAACATAAGCTAATGATTCAAAGATGTTGCTTGAGACAAAGGAATATAAGAATGAACGCGAGTAAGATGTGGAGCAGCACAGCAGGAGGGACGCAACAATATGAGCGTGTGAGGCAAGATGGATGCTAAAGAAGCACCTCACATCACACATTTGCCCTGTGCTCTGCCTCATATGAGATAAAAGCGTCTCTGTCTTTAATAAGTTGCCATCTGTTCTGATGTGCCTTGAATGCTCATTTGCAATGTGTTTCCTTAGTGACAAACGTCATATTCAGGACTGGCATTTTCAGATACAAGCATCCAGCGCTGGTTTGGAGCTGAAATGCCTTATTGGCCTTGAAAAGCAGGGCCCATTTTAGTGCGAACTTCACCAACTTCTTGTCCTCTTGTTGCTCTTATTCTTCGCAACATACTTTGGTGCTAATATTTCACTGCGATTGGACATGGCATCGAATCACAGCGGCTGTATAGAAAAGAGGATCTGAAATGGAGCCAGTGCTGTGCTGCGTCAGCTTGGTAAGAAACCACCGCAGGGCGGGATGGATGCCCGACATGCTTTAAACTGCCAAACTATCCGTGCTGAAACAGCCCTAGAGAATGAACCTGGGCAACTGTGTTGACCGATTTGCCAGGGTAAAACGAGAGGTTGTTATGTGAGCTGCCTCACTGTTGAAGTACAATAGCACAATAATGGGAAAAGGTGAATAAAGTCCAGCTAGAAAAACATCAAGAAGGTCCCAGAAACAAGACACATAAAAAAAAATAAAAATCTAAAATAATGTAGGAAGAAGGTATTTTTGCAATTACAACTGATCCTAATGAATTTCTTTTAAAGGCAGGGTAGGTGATCTGGTTAAAAAACATTTTTTTTTTGTTATGCTGGTTGACAGTCTCTTCACATCCCGACAGCAATCACTAAGTTAAGGGGTCTAAATGTATTTATATAGTTTGTGTAAAGTGTAGGACCATAAAATGTTCATCCAATCATATTGGTCTGAGGGCTACGATAGGCTGTCCTATCTGCCTGTCGACATATGTATTTGCATATCTCTGCGCACCCTGTTCACGCAGACATGATCAGCGCGCGTGCCATTGCCATTGGCGCGTGAGAATGGAAGGCGTTATTATTGTAATATTATGCGCTTTGTACTGTAATGTTTTCTCACCGGTGAAAGAGAAGTCAGGTATTCTGACAGCATTGCATTCAAACCTCATAGTGTTAGCCGGTTAGCCTCTGGTCTGCCTGTGCGCGTTCATGTGTTTTGGAGGAGGCGAGGCTTTGGAGAGTGATTTGCAGGGAAGTTGGGATCTTATGATTTTATTAATTTCATATCTTTAATTTCTTGCTATTGCTAACCTCTCTGAAATTGCCTACCCTACCTTTAAATGTCTGACAAGAACTTCTACAAAAATATATAATACTATATATCCATAAACACAGGTGTCCTACACTTTTAGAAAAAAGGTACAAAAGTATCCCAAATACTTTCCATCTTAATGGTGCACTCAGTACATTTTTGTTTGTTTTGCCTATTGCTAGTCATCCCAGTGGTCAGGGTTTTATATTCACACGTTGGCCAGCTACATACACCAAATGAAATGGATGTTCTTAGACTCAATGGCAACAAAGTTTTGTGAATTGTTGGTGGTTTGTACTGGCTCACGGGGACTGAATCCTGCATTGCTTTTCTGGACTTCATCCTGGACTGTGTTATACACTTTCAATGTTATTATTTGTCTTTATTATGCATTTTGTTTTTGCTGTTATTTTGTTATGCTTGCTTATTTTTTTCTAGATTCACTTTTGTGTTTGTTTCATCAAAAAAGTGCAATATAAAGTAAAATTTTAAATGAATGCATTTCATATTTAATTTTAGATTGCACTTTTTCAACAAATTGAGTAAAACATCCAAATATATTTATTTTCTAAATATATAATGAATATAAAAATACTATAAAATATTTTTTGTAACTTTACAATAAAATCTATTTTTTTAACATTAGTAAATGCATTAACAATAAGCCTTTTTTTTTTTACAGCATTTAGTAATATTAATTAATAAAATTACAATTGTGTTAACACAACTTTTGATTTGAATAATGTATTGAAATTAAGATTAATAAATTCTTTAGAAGTATTGTTCATTGTTTATTAATATAAAGTACATTACTAATATTAAGCAATGAAACCTTATTGTTACCAAAATGTTAACAATATTTGCGAAAACTACCAGCAAGAAACGTTTTTCTAAAGCAGGAAATTGGAAAACAAAACAAACTTAAAACGCTTTGCTTGAAAACTGCTTCTGCTATCTTTCTCGCTTGAATGAAATAATGAAATAACATTCACACACAGTCTATGCTGGAGTTTCTTGCAAAGCAGCTCTATCATTATTTAAATGCTCTTCAAACATCTGGCAGGTGCTTTCCATTTGTCACGCTCGACACTCAGCATCTGCTGTAAGGCCAGATATTTGTTCATCAGTGGTACACTGAGACTAGGGTTTTCTTGAACACCCTCCCAACTGATTAATGGTTTCAATTCAAATCAATTTAAAAAACTTTATTATCTATCAACCAGTGATAGAAATTTGTCTTAGGTAAAAGGCTCACATGTACACAATACACAATAATAATACACAACAATACTACACAATATTAAGACACAAGATCCTGACAAAACTGTTTGGCCTTATTCAGAAACAGTAGGAATAAAAGAATTACTATAAGCCTTCCTTCTAGCCAAAGGAGTTCTAAACCGACAACCTGATGGGAGTATCTGAAAAAGGTAATGCAAAGGATGAGAGGGGTCAGTAACAATAGAAGCTGCTTTCCTCTTCACAGCACAGTTATAGAGATCTAAAATTTTAGTCTGTGGGTACCCAATAATTTTAGATACCTGTCTGATTACTCTTGATAATTTTTTATTGTTTTCAGCTGAAAGAAAGTTAAACGAAGAAACAATGTTAAAGGTTATAACTGATTCCACAAGTTACCGATACACTGCTGTTAAAGGCACAATATATACGATTTTTTTATTAAAATATCCAAAAACCACTAGAACAGTGTTATATATTTTGCTGACTTGTGTACTTACATTATCCCAAATGTTTCGAAGAATGTTTAAATCCAGAGAAATAAGCAATTTCAACTAGTGACACGGACCGTGTCTATAGTGTCATTGTGTCGCCTGCCAATGACGTCATAACCCCTCAATTTCCGGTTTTGTTTTGTAGAAAACATGGAAAAACCAAAGACGCTTTAATATG